TGGATGATCCTTGTGGGTCCCTCCCAACTCAGCATACCCTGTGATTCTGTGGAAGCTGAGGACAGGATTGCAGAGGGCACCACACTGCCCGTGCCCTCTCACCCAAAGGGCTTCCCATGGGATCATCCATTAATGTATTTTACAGCACTCAGATGGTTTAGATGCTTCAAATTCTGTCTATTTTCACACTGCACAGTGTGAGACTGCGCCAGCAAAGGCTGGAGACACATCTCTCTGTCTATAAATACACAGATATTTATGCACACACGTCTGTATTTATATCCCTGTGCTGTTACTTGGGTGCTGTGGAGAACCTCAGCTGTTTGTGCACATTGGGGTTGAAGGATCTGCCTCTCAGCAGGTGGCTCAAGGCAAAAATTCCCGCTCTTTGATGGATTGGAGGTCATCAGTTTATCTCTTCCCACTTCAGAGCACAGTGTCTGTCAAAGGATGCATTTTTTGGAGCTTTTGGCTGGTGACGTGTCCTTGGGTTTGAAAGTCAGAATTGTTGGGGGTTTGAGTTGGAAGGGACCTTTAAAGACCAGCTAATTCCAGATCTCCTGCACTGTCCCCAGGTGCCACATCCACACACTTTGAACACTTTCCAGGGCTGGTGCCTCCACTAGTGCACTGCCTGGGCAGTCTGTTCCAGGGCTTGACCACCCTGATATCCAACCTAAACCTTCCCTGGTGCAACTTGAGGCCGTTTCCTCTCATCCCATCAGACTGGATTGGAATGGAGTGGAATGGAATAGAATAAGAATGAGAATAAGAATAAAATATTTTCAGTGGAAAGGAACTTACCGTGATCATTGTGTCCAACTCCCTGACCCTCTCAGGGCTGCCCAAATCTTTGCACTTCCATTGTATTTGCCAGTTTGGCATTCCCAGCTTTCCCCTGCTGAACATCAAACTGCATCAACCTCAGTAGTGGCAGATAATGTGAATTTTCTCAAATTAGCTGTTGCTCTCTCAGTTTTTCATTCTGAAGGGGTGATGCCTGAGCAGCTCTGGGGTCACCCTGTGGAATAGCTTTATCCCACTAAGATGTGCTCGGCATGTCAGTTCACGTTGCCGACTCAGAACTAACCTGCTGCCTTTGCCTTTTAACTAAAATCAAAATTATTTTGGTTTAAAAAAAGCTCCTGGAAGAGATTAAATGCGCAGAACCATCACTTCAGCCGCCTGTGTAGCAGCACTTAGATCATCCAGGGCTGTTCAGCAGGTAAATTAATCCACAGGGAACAATCCTAAATACCTGATTCAGTGACGAGTTTGCACATAAAACAGCTTTAGTGTAAACCAGTGAAAATTACGTTTCAAATGAACACAAATTGTCAATTAGAAAAGGGGCCAGCAGGACTTATTAGCTCTTTTTTTTCTTTTTTTTGTTGCTTCATTTAGAGAAAACTTATTTTGACACATAGTTATTTTGTTTTTCCTCAATTTGATGTGTTGGGAGATGACTGATGGCAGCTGCTGATTTGTTTCTACAAAGATTAATTAGACACATACCGAGATAGGCTTTTAAAATTAATGGATTTTAATGGATCAATGGATTTTTTTTCCCCCTGTAAATAGACAACATAGTCTGCCTGCCCTGCAGACCCAGACTTTGAAATGGAGATTTTTCTAGAAAACCATTTCACACATATTTCTTAAGCAATTTGAGGGAGCAAGAGAAGTCTGTGAACATCTGTTTTCTGTTTTTATCTAATTTTCTTATCCTGAATTGTAAATGTGTTTACCTGACAGCAAACCTATGTTTAAATGCCAACAAACAAATACCAGTC